ATAAACGCGCGGAATTGCGGGGAAGCTGGCCACGGGCCTGGCCCGGCGCGACGGCCTCGTGAAAGCGATCGAAAATGGCCGATAAAAGGACCGTTTCGTTTCCTAGTCGCGGACCCCGATCGAGTGTCCGTTCCTCTTTCCTTCATTTAGGGAGCTACGAGTGGACGTGGGAAGTTTGAGTTTCGATACGTTGGAGGAAAACGGAGCGAATGTGGGAGGGATCGAAGTGGTTTCGTATGGAGCGGTTCGAGCGGAATAAGTAGTGTTCTCGCGAGGGTTGTTTGAGGGAGGGTGTGGTTTGTAATTGTTTTGATTTCCTGTTGCAACGGATCCGTAATTGTGCAGTGGTTTTAGGTAATATTGTTAGGTGACAAAAATGGATCTCAATGTTACTTGGAATGTCGAATATTAATAACCTTTTGGAATTCTATAAGATCTGAACAATCTCCGTTGCACTGTACAATAATTAGTATTCATACAGTACACGTCTATCAACGAGATATAATGAGATCTATAAAAAAATGATACCCAATTTTGTTGGAACGTAACTGCACCGCTTTGAGCTTCCGGAGGCCGAGCAGGAAGATTCCTTGAAGCTGCCATAATAGTCCCGCCTCGATCGGCATTCAATTATCATGTTATTAAGCGAGATTGTCGTTCATCGGGTGATTACCCGGTTAAATTGCTGACTGCCCGTGGAGGATTATTGATTCAGGCGGCGTGATTAACCGGCGATATTCGGCTTTTTGTTGCAGCCGGAGACGGTGCCGCAAGCGAGGATCGACATGACTCGCGTGCTGGAGGTCGCCGCCGCCGAGGACATCACTGGACATCCTTACAGCCTCGCGGTGACCTCGCCCGAGGGCGTCACCTTCGTGAAGGGCACGTGCCGCGAGGAGACGAGATGGTGGGCAGACGTGTTGCAGGTCTACTCGCGGAACAAGGTAAGCTTTCCCATGGAAAAATTGGGAAATTCAATAGAACGGACCGTGCGAATTAAATGAATCCCATTTTTATGGCACTTTACGGCGAGAGTTGCTGTGTATTTAACGTTATTACGCGGAAAGTGTCAGGAGAGGTGGAAATTGCTTAAAGAAGAGAAACATCGAGTTGGACTGAATTAAATTGTCATTTCACAGAAAAATGTTATTATGGGGAACAATCCGGATAGAAATAAAAATTGTTCGAGCAAAGAAAGAAAATGGAAAAATTGGAACATTTTATGCAAATTAAGTAAACTCCATTTGTATGTTGCTCGTCGTTGAGAGTTACAATAGGCGTAACGTTATTATGGAAAACAATCCGAATAGAGATGAAAATTGTTTAAACGAAGAGAAGGAAAATAGAAGTAGGAACTCGTCCTCGACGTCCCGCGAACGCCGGAGCGTGTATCCTCGGCGCGATAATTAATCTGAATGATAAATGGTGAATAGGAAGTGAACGCTCGGGATTCGATTGCCAGCGGAATTGATCTACGAATGGTAGCGCGGCGTTGATCGTAAATCGTAGAGTAATTTAATGGATCGACCTAGGTATCTTGCGAGTGGGACTTCGAAAATATTATCGAATTAAATAGTAATTATATACTAAACATTAATTAATAGAATTTGATACTGTTCTCGGAGACTGTTGTCTTTAATTTAGGGAAACTGCTATCGAACGAAATCGAATTCCATTCGCTTCATATGCGAATATGAAGTCATTAGAAACATTCTTACGAAATATTTTCACGAAACAAATGTGAAATGAAACAAATGACAGGTGCTGTCAAGCGATATGTTAACCCTTTGCACTCGAAAGGCGACTTACTTACCATTTGATTTCATAGAGTAAAACTATAAAATTTGATATTTAAAATTATACCGCGTATAATGCATCAATTTGAGAAATATTGAAATAAAATACCTTTGTTCCTCAATGTACGCGTGATTTCTCTTCGAGTTAGTTTCAAACTATCGTCTTTATCTCTAGTGAAAAATTTCCGAGTGCAAAGGGTTAACACGTTGCCAAGATGAGCTTCCAAATTACTTGAAAACAATTATAATTTACCCGGCAATCGACGTCGAATGAAAATGTTCAATAGCGTAAATCACTGGATAACAGTATAACCCAATAATCGCGATACCAAACCGGGTAATCGTTCCTATTTATCTTTGCTACAAAAGAACAAGCGATGCATAAAACTCTGAAGTCATTCGCGGCAGTGAACGTGTCAAACACATTGATAGACAGAACGATCCAATTCAGTAGCATACCGTTTACATTATAGCCACTACAGTGGCGTACCGTTCGCAAGAATAACATACGCGGAAGCCACTGTAGTAGCGTACAGTAGCTAGAAGATTAAACAAACGTGTCATTGTATCTAAATTCGTATTTGAAAGAAAAACAACGTGTCACCCGAAGGCAACGGGGCAACAAAATTGGAAATGTTTCGATCCGCGCCGTTGCTGCTATTTTCAATTCCCTCGTCGGCGAGTCGAACAACTTTCCCGGCTGTTTTTCGCGAACGGGAGGCCGCGCGCACGGTCCCGGCCTTATTAAACCCATTTCCGCCGGCGAGACAAGTCGGCCGCGACTGGTATAACTGCACGCATAACAAGCATGACGCAGAAGGATGTAGTAATGATTATGCGAGCACCGTAATCAACGAATGACAGCGGCGGACCCGTCAGGGGTTTACCTGTTTTTCAGGGCTGGGCATGAAAGGTATAATTCGTCGGTCGGGCTCGCTCGCGATTCGACGGGAAACGGCGCTGAGCCGCGCGAATTTCAACCGAACGAACGCGCATCCCGCGCCGGGAAAACGGAGTCCCTCGGGCGACGTCCCTTTTCGCGCGAACCGAGCGTCGCTGTTTCTGCTTCCTCGTTTCCCGGGTGTAGTAAAACGCCGAGGTGCTCGTTAACGACGTTATAAGGTCAGAAGATTCTCTGTTCGATGGGCAACAATGAATATCATTGACTTGGTAATTCGTTCGTTAGTGGCTCGGTGTTTCAATCGGCGAGCGTTTAGAGAAGCACGCCACGTAATTTCTATTTTTGAACTTTTCTTACTGGATACTGGATAATAGTTACAGTTGTATGGAACACCGCGGAGTGGAATAATCGCGGGTAGACAGGAGTGTTTCCGTGAATGTTCGACGTTTGAAAATATGACTGAGGTTCGACGTTAAACGGAAATTTTCTTTTAAAGAATTTCTCTGCCCGTTTCTTCGACGCTGGATAATGAGATAACGACAGTGTTAACGGGCAAGATTCAGCGGGTTATTAACTTCAGCTGCCGCATTATTGCGATGATAAGAAACTTAGGCACTTTCGTTCCTTTTTCCGTCGACAGTGTCTTCTATAAACATCCTGTTCCCAGTTAATAATACAACGATGAGTAGCTATTATAGTAAAAGGAAAAAGCTTTGAATTTCAAAGGACTTCTGCCACGGTAAAAAGAACCGCTCGTTCCAGCGGCACAAATAACTCCGAATTAATGAACTCAAAGGAAAAACCGTGGAAAAACGGGGGGGGAGAGGTTCGAGAACCGGTAAGTCGGGTGCATAATGTATACTTCCGAGTAAACATCGTCGAATGTTAAGCCCCCTACACACATTGGGGCACGTTGCGACGCACGCATCGACCATTAGGTTTCGTGGCGCACGTTTCAATGTCCGTAGATCGATATTGATCGGTATAGATCGATGCGACTTATACGATCCAGGAATCGCGAGCACAGACTCAACACCTTACCCTGTAACTCTTCATTTCCAGCAATGATCACAGTAACTATTAACGAAGCTAGCATTGAAATTGGAAACTAACAATTAGAAGAGTAAACATTTAGAAATTTGCCAATATAACCCAATAGGTAGACAGTAACACAATCGATGCTGTTGCACGACGAGAAAGTGGAAGTAAAGCGACAGTGTAACACGTTTACCGATTGTTCATCAACAGAACTACCGAGTAAAATTGACTTTCTACAATTCCTATATAAAAACTCTAAGAGTGCATCAATCGAGACTTTAATCGATTTACAATTCAGTTTGCGTATTGCTAAATCAGTTTCTTCGATAATTTCTCAGAGAAACATCCGTTATCTTTTTAACAATCGAAGAAATCAGGAATAGGTCGTTTCGACGCGTCTAGTAGTTTTACTGTTAATTTTCTTTGCGTAAAGTGTAGAGTGGTAGATCATCCGAAAAAACATCCACGTGAAAGACATCCGATCGCGGTGGCCTATTCCGTGTACAATAGATGTCACCGGATCGTTGCTTCCCTAACAGATGCACGCTCGAAAATGTGTAGGGGGCTTTAAGCGAAAAGCGGCTCCTAGAGTGTCCTGGCCGGTGGTTAATTCCCGCGAGCGTTCGCCGGGGGAAACGGGCTCGGCAAAAGTGCGATAATGCTCGATCATTAGCGCGGGCTGTCGCGGCGTCACGCTCGTTACCGCGCGAAATAATGGCGGGGCCGGGAACGGTGCGCGGATAAAGGGAACGGCGCGTCGCCGTCGACTTTGAGCGGGATCGCGGGCTGGATCCTCCGCGCGATCGCCTCCTCAAAGGGCTCCCCTTTCCTCGGCGAGCTCGTTTCTTTATTCGCCGCGGAATAGAGCGCCGATTATCGCGACAATGAACCGGGCTCCGAAGAAGTCGTCCGTGGTTCGTTAATCCCCCGGGGACGATTCAATTCGATTTCCAACCGGGCGATTCACCGTGATCTGACAGGCATTCAGAACGAGGATTAACTTATCGGGGCGCGTTTGTATTTCAATTAATTTTAATTGACCGCGCTACCTCGCTCGTTCGCGCGCTGACGTTTCGATTCGGCGAGGTTCGTTGCCTGGGTTTGTTTGAATGAGATTTTGAACATTTGAACATTTGGGCACTTGGACATTTAAATATCTCACTGTTTCGTCATTCAAATATTTAAAACTAATATCTTAAAAAACTCTCTCCCTTAGCCATTACCGACTTCACAATTGTCTCTTGTCTTCCATTTAACAACCCTCTTTCCGATTTCCGAAAAATCTTCTGTTCAACACTTTCATCATCCCACGCACCGCTTTTAAAGCGTCTAATGGACAAGTCAGCCGCGCCACGTTCCACGCGGATTAACGTCGAAATAATAAAAGACTGGATTTTATCCCTCGTACGATCAGCTTGGGCACGCTCCTGGGATAGCTGCGCGAGGTGTTCGCGTTATTCACGATCGCGCGTGTAGCCCTGTCGTCGGTGGACTGTCACCCGCGAGCGTTACTCGAACGCCCGACAACAACAGGACCCCGGGTTGCGTAAGAAATTGATTGATCGGTGAATAGAAAACGCTTCTTCGGTGTCTGGCATACTAAATCCGTTCGAGGTCGACGGCCTCGTTCCCTCGGAACGTTCTCCGCTGAAATATATATTAACCTTTTCAATCCGAACCGCTTGTAATAAAAATCGATCGCTAATGGCCGGGATTCACGACCCACGTTTGCGTTTCGATTCGCAAAAAAACGGTGTCGATCGATCCGGGACAGCATAGATGTTTCGCCTCAGGTGTCCCGGTTGTTGTTCGACTCTTAATCGACAGCAACATTTAATGCACTTAGAAGTGGCGCCGTAAGTCTGTGCACATTCACGCCTCTATGCAGTTCATATTAAAACGGCACTCAAAGCTAGTTAACAAAGCTCCCTCAATCAACCGATCATCTCGGCATTCTTCAAACGAACAACATGAAAATAAACTCGCTAATCTCCGCTAACTACAATTTCACTAATTTCCGCGAATCCTACGAAAAAACCTCGCCGCACTCAATTTTCATACACTCAAAATAAAAAAACATACTAACAAGTAGACTACCAAATTCATCGCAATATCCTCAAATCCAAATTATCCCAAAGTCAGAATCCACTTGAAAGACGATCGAAACAACGTTGAAAAAATACCCAAACGATTAGGTGACAGAGACAGGAGCAGCAGTGTTAGTAGCGAAATGTTAAATCCATGTTTATTTTCCATTCGCGGAACTATGCGGACACTGTCACCATCGAAGAAGTGTGAATAGTATCGTACCTATGTCCGTGGAAGGCAGGAAGGTGAAAATAAAGCGTAAAGTTGCGATCCGAAGAGGATCGAGCCGGGGAATGAAGTTAGGGGCCGGGACGAAGATAGAGAGGCTGTTCGAGGACCTGGAATGCGTTTCCCTCGACGTGGCCGCGAATCATTTCGCAATTAACGAGGCTCGTTTAAATGGGATCGGACAGGTGTTCGCGGCGCGGGGAAGAAGAAGCCGCGCTCGCGTCTATTCGGGCCCGCGACCGGACTCCGCGCCGTCCCGTATCGCGTTCCGCCGCTTTTACGGCCGGTCCCGGCGACAGGGGAAGAAAAATAAAACAGGAGCCCCGTTTCCTGTGCGTTCACCGATCGCGTACGCTCCCGTGTTGGCGTGCGTGTATACCTACGGCACGCGGTCTCGCCTTGGCCTCGTAACGTAATCGTACCTTTACACCGGCGGGTCCACCGACGCGACGACGAGCTGTTCTCCGTTTGCTCGATCGATCGTTCATTGCGTAACGGAATCGATCCGGCGCTGTTGGCTTTCTGGACGATTCGCGATGATCGATGGGATCTTTGGAAACCCCCAGCGACGTCCTAGCCGGCTGTTACTTTAGTTGATCGATGGATGCTCGAGGAGATACTCGAGAATCGATTTCTGCGGTTAACGTCGCTTGTGGATTCGCGAGGACGAACATTGTAGATTTTTGAAGAGTAATGGGATAGGAGTATTAGGAAGTTTATGTTGGCGTTTATCGATGCTATTCATTTGTGTTCCATCGTGCGCCATTGCGGAGGATTCCTTTAAATCGACTTGGCAGATGGAATGTTTGATTTGTAAGGTTCTTGAGCTAGGTCGATAAATTAGTATTGTATAACCGTTAGATTAGTATGTGATGGTGTAATAAAGAGATTCAGTGATTCGAGGCATTCGAAAGAATACAATCAATGGAAATGAAGCCAGGGTGGCGTCATCGGCCGTGACGGTGTGAACAAAATGGCAGATGCTGAAGATTTCTTTGGTAGAGAAATATCGTTTCAGTTTCTATTTCTGTAACGTCCACTGTGTCTAAAGCCATTTATAAACGAGTAAATTTATACAAGATTCTCCGAAGAAAACCAAGCTCGCCGCGTTTCGACCGCTAATTTATGGAAGCCAGAACGGCTCGGCAATTTGTTCCCCGTAGCGAACAGCGAAGTGAACTCTTACGATGGTCTCTATCTTATCGCGCTTTCCCCGGTCGCATCTGCTGAACGCACGGGCCGCATAAAGAATCTAGCCGCGAGATAGCGGGGGATATCTTCGGGCGGCGCATTAACTTTTCCTCTTTCTCTCGAACTTCCCGCGACCACCTCGTGTTCCTGCGCGAACCGACCGGATACTCGGTGAAACTCAAAACCGCGCGTCCCTCGATCTCGTACCGGCTTCCGTTTGATAAATTCATAGCCGGACCGTGCATTTTCATGCAAATTCTCATTTTCACAGATCATTTCATTCAAACTGGAACAAAGAAAAAGTGTCGTCCGCTATTATAAAAGGTCCATACCAACAGGGATTGTATGGCATATCTAAATACACATCGATACTTAGATCCACTTGGGCTAATCGCGACACCTGTTGCCGTTACTAATGATAATTTGCTCCGGTTCGTGGCCATCGGGCGCAAAGAGAATTTCTCTTCCCGGAGCAAATAACGCATCCTCTTCAATTATCAAGAGAAAAGCATTTGAGAATAAAAGAAATCTAACGGGAATGCAACATCAACAAGTAAAATGTGTTCCTTCTTCCAATTAAACATCGTGGAGAATAAAATGAAACCACTGCTGCATCAAAGAACAGGAACAAACCGAAACCTTTACCATACTGAGGAATGAAATAAAATAAAAATAAAACTATCACAGATTTCTCTTAATAGCTTTTTCCAATTTCGAAACTCGGGGTACGGAATGAAGGCATAATGATCTGATAAATCGATCGTTATTACAGATCGGTCCGTCGAATCACCTTTTCCAGACGCGGCCCTCGCGGACCGCCTTGTAACGCGTCGCGGTCGATTGAAACGTTCCTTCTTGCCCGCGTTTGTACTCTGAACGCGCGAGGCCGCAATGCTCGCGCGGCCACTTATGAATTATGCACGCCGGGAAGAGGCACCTTCGCGGAATATTATCAGTGTTACTCTTATCTGGCCGTTATTACCGGCCGCCTACCGCGACCGAGCCGCGCGCTGCCCTCGTACGCTTTCGCCCACGCAGAAATTCTACGGCATTCCGGGTGCGGAGCCGCGCGACTTCGACGCGGCTCGCGGGAAGATAATGATTGCGATTTTTAGTCGATCGAGCCAACGGACGCGTCGGTACACCGGCGAATCGATCATTGTCGATCGATCGTGTTCGCTGATTCCGCTCGTTTGTTAACACTAGAACTACCGAGCGTTTGATACGACTAATATGTAATCCTTAATAAAATTATAACAATACATTTTTTCGGTTTCTTTGTATATATACTTTGTATACAAGTGAAACTGTTGATCTTTAAAATCATTTTGGATGTTTGTTACTTTTAAGAGATCAATTATTGCGAAGTAAGGAAACTAAGTCGCCATTTTGACGGGCGTGGTAGTTACAGTGTTCTTCGGACTTGATGTATATTACAATGCACACTGTTTTACTTCCTCTCTTGCTTCGAGCCTATTTTTATCGGGAAAGTTGTATACTACCACTATTTCTTGGAGATAATGGCATTATTGATGTTGCATCGAATGCCTGTACTTCGTCGGTAGGTAAATGAATGGTTAGCGTCTGTGATGTCGTGGCAAAGATAAGTGGGAACAGTTATTAATCATTTAAGTTACCACGTTGGTAAAGATTTTCATTCGACGTCGATCGTTTTACGTATTAGAATTGTTTTTGAGCAATTCAAGCAATTAACTTGTCTGTCTAGTATTTATTTTTCAAGCCATCGCGTCGATCGAGTGTAATAATGTATAGTTGGCACTAATTATACCAGGTCGCGCGAGTATCTCGGCGATGTAACTTTTTTTACAGAGAAACTATTAGCCATGTTCCAAATAGAGTTTCTTCCACTCGACACCACTCGGAAGATTTCTGTGCAATTACGTATGCAAATTATGAATTACGATTAAAGTAGTTTACTATGTTTGACCGTGTTTTAAGCAGTTTTTTGTATGTAGCCTCAAGTGTCGGAGATATTCGCGTGAGCTCGTTTAAGTGGACTGTCTTGTAGACACGTTATCGCTGGAAAGTGTCATGTCGCTTTTCTAACGGAGAATAATCTATGTTAATCTTAGCACGAGTGAGAATTTCAAAGAACAACCATGTGAAAACTCCTTTATTTTCCATTCGCGAGTACATTGTTCGTTCTATTTTAATTCCAATATTAAATTAATTTTAAATTGCGCACAAAGTCTCGTCGCATTTCTCAGTGAAGTTCAAAGAAAATTTCATTGAACTATACGCGTTGCATATTTAATTCGGTATTTATCTACTGTCTTTTAACCGACGTACTTGTGATCTTTATTTCTGCATTATAATATAAACGTCGCATTGAAGATTAAAACGACGAGACTTTTTTGGCCGAGCTGATGTAACTGTTTCCAGAAATTCACGCTGCAATTTGAACGTTTCGAACTGTTCCAGGGCCGGCACAAGCGGAACGCCACGTTCCCCGGCGGACAGACGACCATTCTTCAGGTCACGCCGACGATCAGAAGTAAGTAATTCGTTGGGCCGTTAAAGCCCGCTGTCCCTGTCGTTTACGCGGGCAATAATTCTCGAATGTACAACGAACGGCCGCGCTTTCAATGGATTCGTGACGCAATCCCCCCATCGAGCGACACTTATATCAATGAGACACGGCATAAATAACGCGTCGACGGTGTTGTCGGGGCGAAACGAATTCATAGCTTTCCGCGAAAGTAAAGCGAAGAAATAATTACCGATTCGATGGAACGTTGAACGGAAACAATGAAATAGTTCCACGATCGATTCTTTTAAATCCGAGTCCAGGCACGATTTATGGGATCGGAGCTTGTTAATTAGTCTCACGGTTTTGCTCGGAAGCAGACAACAATCGGCATTTAATCAAAACAATGAAGAGAAGATAGTGACCCATAAACTGGACCAATCAAAATTTAATTGATCCCCCAATGAGGTATCCTTGATCCAATTGAATTATCTAGAACGTCGACATGTTCGTTCAATGAATCGTTGAACCAAAGTCTCGTGCGACCTCGATTAATCGAGGCGCTATCTTCCACGATATAGAATCTCGATCATCCGCAAACCCAACAGTACTTAGATTCCATCGAAGCCTGTCCCAAAACAATCAAATATTACATTCTTCCGAATTTCTTCTCTTGTCCCCATGTATCCACAGATAAGTCTCCACTGGTTACTCTCCAATTAAATCGAATAACAAAGAACCTAGCATGAATACCATAATTTCCTCTTCACCTTATCTCTCGTAGATCCTGAATCTTCCTATTCGTCACGATCTAACCCAAAAAATCGCTGGATTTCCAGGTAACACGCCAAATCCTCCACGTCCGCGCTTCAACAGCTGCCGCTCAGAACCGCGCAGCAACACGTGGATCCCGGAATCCAGCGTCCCGGCGGACCTCTGCTCGTCCGTGTTCTCGTCCTCGACATCGTTAGTGACCAGCAGTGTCGCGACCACCTCCAGCAACACCGTGTTAAGCAACGGGAACTCGGAAACGGGCAACGATCATCGGAACAACTCGGTGTCGCCTTTGAGGACCAGCGCTCCTTTGGAGAACGGAAGCTCCAGCTACCTGTCGGCGGTTCCGTCGACGTCCTCGATGAACGGGACAGTGTCCAGCACGGTCTACTCCACCGCGTCGAGCAGCGTGCCGTCGACGACCAGCTCGTCGCTGACGGAGAAGCCGCCGATCGTGCCCAACGAAGGCAGGTCCAGCTACAAGGATCAGCCGGCCAGCAGCGCGTCGCCGCCGACCAGGGATAAGCTGAGAGCCGAAGACAAGGCCAGACGCAGGATGAATCAGCACGGGGAACGGGCAAGCACCGGACCGGCCTGTTCCAACGAGAAACTAGGTCGGTACACGAATATAACGTGGAAATCGCCCCGAGGTGTCCTCGCGAGCTCGTGTCGCGGGAACGCGCCGGTTCTCGTTCGCGTTCTTCGACCGGATTGCTTCCGGTTTCCACTCGCGCGCCTTTTCAGTTTATGCAGCACGATAACTAGATCACGGATTTTTTCTCGGGTTCTTGTATGTTGATGTTCAGAAGCGTCGATCTCGGGGTTTCTTGGGGGACGCCATGCATTGTTCGCTGGGATCGGGTTTGCTGAATGATCAGTTGCTAATTTAAGAGCTGTAATGCAAATGTATAGAAATATAGTAGTTATATACTAATTTCAGTCGTTGGTTTGGAATCGATAAGAAGATATTGATAGAGAAATTGGTAACATTGGAGTTTCAAAGGGAAATTTCAACGGAGCTTTAAGGATTCTATTAGGTAGCAACCGAGACGAATGGCTAATGTTTTTATTTATTCTATTTATACTTTAGATTACTGTCCGATTATTCTAATTGTCCGAGTTTTTATAACTTCCATGGATTTCAATGAATCATCTCGTGTACTCGATTCCGGGCAATCGCGAGACACACTCGTGGAATCTATGATTCAATTGGAGGCTCTCGAATGAGAGTAATGATTCCACGCGCCGACGTGATAGAAGTGGAAGCAGTTCGATCGGTTCCGTGTTAAGATAGACGCGCTAGGAGAAATTCGCGCCAGAACGAGATCTGGTATAACACGATTCAGTTTTACGGCAACAATGGCATCTCATTGAATTGGAGAGGGAAACTGGGTCGGCCGCGGCGGCGACGATGATTTGCGCGGCGCAGTTAAATTGTACCTGACCCATTTCCCCCCTGACAATTGACGGTATAAACAGAACAGTTAGTGTGCCGACGCCATGGGGAGCGAGCCGTGTGAAAATTCAAACCGCGAGCCCCGTTCCGGCGGGCGCTCGGTTCTCGCATGCTCAAACTCCTCGCTGGAAACGAAAGAACACCGTTAAAACCTTTACTACTCCATATTTTCCAAATTTCCATCATAAACATGTAAACCTTATATTTCCACCGTCCCACTCAACAATTATTACAACACATACACCTTGAATCTCCTAATCACAAAGAAAAAACATATTAAAGACGCTAAATTCTTGGAAACAAAACCTCCAAATCGCTCATTGAAAAAGCAACACAATTACGTTGCAATATATCCAACCAGAAAAATTCAAATACAAGAAAACCACAGAAATCCAACGTTCATACATTCAAACTCAAACAATCAGCCTAGATATCAAAAAAGAAAAACCCCCGCAAGCTTCGTTCGCGAAGCGTCAAGAATCTTCCACGAATGTGTTCCATAAATTCAAGCGTCCATCCGGAAAGTTCCCGAAGAATCCGAATCATCCGAGCACGGTAAATCAACAGCCGATTCGCGGAAACGGGAACAAGGATGGATAATGAAATCGGCGAGCGAGCGAGCGAGCGTTCGTCGATCCCTCGGCCGGCGAGTCCTAGCGTCCAGCCTCCGCGGAGTGTCTCTGTCATTACCACCGGGAGGATCGTTGCGGCTGAAATTAATCAGCCGCCTCTCCCGGCTCGCAGTCGCGTCCACCGGTTTCCCTGCCCCCCTCGCGCCGCCGATAAGGGATTCCAATTAAATTTCAAAGGGTTTCCTGCGTGGCGTTCCCACCACTCGTTGTATATATCCGAGCGCGCGCTGGCGTACGTGCTTTCCAATCGGCGATAAGTCAGCTTGTCGTTTCCAGTGAGCTACGAGCCTTTAATCGCGATATGATTCCGCCTTCGCGGGTTCCCTCGCGGAATGCTTTCTCGTTTCCAACGGCAGCGAGCGGGCCGTGCTCCTCGGACGGCCGTAGGAACTCTTTTACACCTTTCCCCCGGTTCGGTTATTTATTCCCGCGGCGAGCGGATCGAACGTGTCCAATGTAATAGTTACATCGGGCACGGGATACGCGGCGCGATTAATCCGGCAATAATTAATGGGCGAATTTAATGGCGCCGGGATCTCGATCGGGAGCCGCGCGTTCCGATGCGTGACAAATTTTCGTGATTGTGTTACCGAGTAAGCCACTCCGGGCCGCGGCGCATTAATACTTTCGCCCGCGGCGCGCCTGTTAATCAAGACCAGCTGAATCGGCCGGCGTGTTTGCTATCGTTTAGAGGAAACTTTATTTCCTTGTTTGCCCGGCTTATCGATTCTATGCTTTACTGTATCGCGCTGTGCGCGTGTTCTATTTGGCCGCTATATTTTGTCAGGCGGGATCTATTTCATTTGTACGAACTGCGTTCTGTTGCATGTGCAGCGTGTTTTGCTTTGCCCGTTGAAGCTATATTCTATTTGGCTTATGGAAACTATATTCGTCTATGGAAACCATGCCCCACTCTCGATCAACTAACACACTCCCGAAACTTTACGAATTAACGTGATTCACTTAACAAACGACAAACCCCAGAGACTAATAATTCCATTCAATTCAATTACAAGAGGAGAAGAATTACAAGAAGAAAACTGATGTATCAAAATATTTAGTAGGTAGTTGAATAATAATGCAACTTAAGAGCTATGATATCAAATTGTTATTGATTAATTTTAATACCATTCGCCTTTGGTATGATACGATAAGCAATCCTATACGAAACGCTCTAAATTCTCGTGGCGGTCATCGTGTGTTTAAGACCCAACACTACTACCTGTTCTACAACAACGAGTGAGACTCGTGAAGATTTTCAACATGATCCAAAAAATATGTATATTACTCAGTTCATTCGAATTAAAAGTAAATATTCCTCTGTAATCAACTATGATGCTTAAAAAGAAATATAGGCAGATCATATGCTTTTTCTCTTTTTCCAATAAATTATTAATTACAAAGTAGCCGTATCATAGTTCAGAAAGAAGTCACAGGCCAACGGGTTAAAGAAGAGAATCGGATTCCTCAATTTTTCCGAAAACATTCGGATATCCCTCGAACTTCGTTCCACGTGGATCGCGGCAGTCACCGGTGGCCGGGTCGCGTTCTTCCTGTCGCGGCGTACGGGTTCGCCAATCTAAATGAAATCTCCGGATCAGGCCAGACCGAGGAGCAGAGGGATCGCGCCGGCAGATTTTCTCGGAGATTGTGCGCACGCAATTACGCAACCACGCAGGAAAGGGAGGTGTAATCGCGCGGGGCTGAATTCCCCGCGCGGTCGAAACCGACCGGCCTGCCAGCGCCCGCGGGCTCTCGGCTAGAAAGTTACGGGCGTCGATGCTCCATCTCGAACGCTCCTCCGACCCGTGTTATTCCGAGGCGCTATCCGGGGCGATTCGAAACGAAGGAACGATCGGACCGATCGTTGCCCTCGCGTGCCGGCGTCGACGCGATTCAACCCCTCGACTACCGATTTATCAATCGGGCAACAATCGCGGAAAACACTTTAAACGGCGAACGTTTTTTCCTGGGAGGAATAAAGAAGTTTCTTGAGAAAGTCGGAGAAAACCGCGTTGGAGCGGTGCGATCTTTCATATAGCATCATTGATGGATTGTGGTAGAAATTGTTAAATCGTTTAAAAGTATTCTCGTTTGGCACGTGGAGTATTTTCTTTGCGAAGAAGTTAAATAGTTCGATTCGGTTACTTGAGTATTTTCGTTCGATATACGGAATATTTGCTTTATAAAAAAACGGAACTTTCAATTTTGACTGTTATGACGTCCATGAGAACTCTATTTAATTCAACTATTTCAATTCTGAAAGAGATAGAAGGTGGAAATGGCAAGGTTCAATGGTTTATTCTCTCGAGTCAGGAGATAACAGATGATTCAACCAAATATCATCGTGTAATGTCGAATTTTCAGTAGAAAACTCGCGCTGGCTCGAAATTACGAAACGCACAGCGAATAGCTCAAAGTGATTGCCAATCCGCAGAAGTAAGTTCGAGCGTTCGAGATGGAAGAAAAGTCGCTCCGTTCGACGGACGAAATAACAGGCCGCAGTTTTTCACGGTGAGCCGTTTCCCGTTAGCAGTAAAACGTCGCACCGCCGTTGGCACGGTATCATTAGAACAGGTTTCCGCGAAATGCTAAAGCTACCGGTCAGCGCGGCGGCGGCGAGGATACGCGGGCTCTCTCCGCGGGTGTCGCAATCGTACTCCGATCGGAATTAGGCGTTTTTCAGGGAACAGCCGCGTTAACGAGCCGCCGGCAAGAAGCTAATTCGATAATGATGCGCGAACAAATTGCACCGTGTTACGGTGTGTATCACGCGCGAGCTTCAGCGTCCCGCGGAGGTGGAAATGTTCGCCGGGCCTAGCGAGATTTAGGTGCAACGGCACGCGGAAGAAAATGTTCAATATTTCGCGCTACGAGTCGGGCTTGCGATCGAAATTTCCAAACACGAATGTTGCAACTGTTACTCGTTTATAAGTATCTTTTAACTCACTCTATCCATTATTTTACCTAACGTTCACACATTCTTCTGCTTCATTGTACTTCTTGCTTCCGCGACTCACTTTATCTGCCAAATGAACAATTGAAATACTATTGCTTCTTCAAAGTTCGATGCAACAGTGTTCCTGTACGAATTGTTCGCGTTGAAATCGCGAATCCTTGCGAAAGAGATCGAGAGACAGAAATTTAAAGTACTTTAGTCAAATTCTCACGAGTAAACTGTACCGAGGAACACCTAAACATGCGTACCCGGTTATTCGCGCAGGGGTTGAACGGAGGAAAAGGACGTAAAAAGGAAAAGGAAGCAACGATCTAGCAACCGGTTTTCTCAATGGAATCGACGGCACGGCGAAAAATTCGCCGCGTACCGTTTTTCTAGGCCGGAACGATTAAAATTGCTCGCGCCTTCTACAGTTTCTTGCGGCGGTGGCTGCGCGCGCGGACCCCGGGCAAAAAATGCGCGCGGCTACCGGAGCGATTCGAATCGATTGCACTGATAAATATCGTTAATAAACCTGCCGTAGTTAACGGATACTTTTTGCCGATCGCGTACGCCGTTAATAGCGCGACGGGGCTCGTAACGCGGCTCGTCCGACGCGTTTTTCCGCGATCCTGCGCGCCGGGATTACCTCATCATCGGCAGTTTGCCGCGAGAGATATGAATTATGGCGGTCGTAGGACGCGTCTAATTTGCCGCGCAGATTGAATGTTAACGCTTCCGCGATAGCCGGTGCCCTCTGGCTTCCCTAAAACCGAAGGCACCGCTCGGGAAATAAATCTGGGGCTGGCGAATGGAGGGTCGAAGTATCGCGAAACCGATTCGCGTGGGATTTATGGGGTGTTAGCCCCCTGCAAAGATTCTTTGGAATGTACGAAACCTTCAGCAAACGAAGTTAAGATGTACATCAGTTGCTTAAATGATGGAAAAAAGGAAACCACGCGCCGGTCTCTTGCTGTTCGAGTAATTAAATCATTTGCTTACGACTTGGTCCTTCAAATACGAACATTTCATCTCGTGGAAAGGTCGACGTTCGTCCGTGAACGGTTGAACTGTGCGAATTTCGGGATTCTCATGTACAATGGAAAATTTAGTGTTGCTTCACCCGTTAACAGCGATAACATGGTGCGGTCGAAATTAAAATTTTTACGTATCTATTTATTATTTTCCGTTGTCAAATATCCTTTACGCTAAAAGTCTGATTATGTTGCACGAAAATAATTAAATTCAAGGGAAAGAAGAGTTACATTAAAGCGCGTTAAATAGCAAAACATCTTTGGAGAAACTCCGTGTTGCAGTTGGCTCGCGCAAGAAAATTCCTCGGTTAAGTAATTCGTACGAAGCAGAACAGAATTCAGAACTAATTTTCTCCCTCTGTGCGATATCTACTCCGGTTCGATTCAAGCCACAGGAAATCCAACGTTGCAACTTCGAAGTTCGTTAAAAGTTCAATTCGATTCGACTTCGTTCGCAGAATATCAATGGTATCACCTGCAGAGATAAAAACACGTTTGGAAGTCGCAAACTCCCGTCGGGCGAGCCCAGAAGTGAAATATCCCGTTCCGAATTAATAAGAAATCCATCACTCTTCCTCATTATCCTCGATTATCCTGCAACCGCAGAGTCACCGTTATCAAGGCAGCTTCAAGGTAACCACCGAGCAATCTTCCCTCCTCGTCTGCTCCCAATTCGAGAAACCGAACGGCTCGGCTGCCTCGGACGATTATCTAGTCCCGCGGCCGGCCGCGTTCAATTCGATCTCGTTATCTAATCCAACGGACTCATCTCGGCCGGCCGATCGGCGGGAGCGTTTTCCTTCTGGAATGATGAATCGTTGGGGATCGGTTCGCGCTGTCGCGCCAGGTGCTCGCCATTGTTCCGCGACGGTATCCTTTTCGACCGGAGAGTCAGCGCGCGCCGCGTGGCGTCGCGGGAAACGGTTATTAGCATGGTAATGGCGGCTAGATTTCGATGGAGGATCGATAAAAACGCGGATAAACGAGAGAGATAAGGGCCCCGGCGGTCGCTCGCCGCGGGACGGAAGGAGGGGGAGCCCGGTTATTAATTAGTCGGCAGTCAATTAACGGGCCGACGGCCGGGGCGTGCTGGGATCGCCGCGTTCGGGCGCAGGGCTCTCGGAAAGAAGTTAATTGGTTAAGCCGGCGACGCGACGCGACGCGGCGGGACGAATGTTTGATAACGAACCGCGGGGATGCCCCCCCTCGCTACTTTCTAACCACCGTAATTATAATGCTTCACGTGTTCTCAGATGTTTCCCCCTGTTTCTCTTTGTCGCTTTGACGCGGCGAGCGACGGCCCGTCGAAATTCCGGGAAGACGAAGTAACTCATTTAGCGGGACGGGAAAGGGAAAGTTAAAGATCGATTGCGGAGATTGCCTTTTCAATGCCCGCGTGTATTCGAGACTTTAACGAATTTTCGTTCGTTAATCGCGTCGTTCGGGAAACGAGTTTTTTTTATGTGTAAAGGAGGGAATATTTAATAGAGAGATTCTTCGAAAGTTCGTGGGTTATATTTTTGTCTCACGGATAGTTATTTGATGTATGATGTCGATGCAGTTTCGTATGATTGCGAACTTTCTTCGCATTTGCTTGCATTCGATCTTGGAAGGGGGGAATCATTAATCGTTTCGGTGTGAGATTCGATTCGAAGATGATTAACTCTGATTTTTGTTGTGACACGTCAGACGACGACGCCTGTCGGAGAATATTATTGGAGCACGAGAGGGAGAGGGAGGGCAAGCTGCGTGACATAGCAGCTTCGTTGACCCAGCCACGCGTGCGGAGGATCAAACCGAGAACATCCGAGCCAACCAGGGACGTCGTGGACGCGGCGAACGCTGCCTACCAGGATAAGTTGGTAAGTATCAGTCTTGGAAGAATTAACGAATATTCCTTTCCTTGGGAATGTTTCAACGAAGACTATGGAAATTACTTTAGAGAACATTGATAGCTAATCAAAAGGAAGTTTTGAAGGAGAGAGCTCGAAATATAAAAATTGTACGAATTATAATATCAGCTTTGGATATAATATCAATTTCTAAGATATAAGTCGAACAAACTTTTCGTACGATTTATTGAATTAGACGTACAACCGAATGATCTATTGTCCTCCATGTCTTCGAGATCTACACCAGAAGATCGCTTTTCGATTAGCAGGGATATTATGTTTGAGAAGAAACTAGTAGGAAATAAATGGTTACGCGGATAAGTCGCTCACGCTGGAGAGTTAACCGTCCATTTCCTTGGCGAGAATACCCTTAATGATTTTCATTTCTGATATAGATCAGAGGAGACCCCGACGGATGCGGCCTAGACATCTCGGGCATCAGATATTCCCCTACGTCGGAGCTGCGAGTCGATCTACCCGCGGAGGATCTGTTGAACATCAAGAAAGGCTGGCTGATGAAGCAGGGCCTCAATAAGGTTCGTATCAAATTTAACACGGCGCGCTGCCGTGCCCGCGTGCACTCCATTTCCTGAATAACGCGCAGTCAGGCTCCTGCGGAGCTGCGTGCCGTATGAAACCTAGTTACAGTTTGAAAAGGTGTGTCTCGTTCTCGACAACAAACAAGGCACGTTTTACACTGTCCATTACCGGAAATGAGATGTTCTTTCTAAATTGGAAAAATTTGTATCGATCGCTAAGCAGGACAGTTTTGTTAATCTTCACTTGATCAGCTTTCCGCGCAAACCGAGCGAGAAATTGAAAACGACACCGAGAGTAGACGAAAGTATATTTTAGTTTATTATATTTAATCAAAAGAGGAGTCAGTTTAAACTCCTACTCGATCACTCGAGACGCGGTCGAAAGGAAACAGCGAGAACATCACAATACACCCTCGATTGGAAAGCGGTGCTCTATAATTACAAGATCGCGCGGTACACTTAAACGGGCCGAATGAATCCGCAGAGAACGATCGGCAGGACTAATGTGCAAATAATAAACATTATATGGCCATTAAGAATCATGTAGCGGATTAACTAGTAACAAATTCCTGCCGTAAATTACTTTTTCCCTCCGCCGAAATTAATTGTGCGCCGGAGTTTTATCGTTCGAGATTCCTTGCCGGAGATAATCTGCATAGCCGCGGCGTTGTCACGCGATCGGGCGACAAAAACCGCCGGGCGGAGGGTAATGGTGGCAATCGTTAAGCGGCGCACGACAGCGTGCGCGTGTTCGGTTCCTCATTTCCTTCGAACCGGCAATTAATAGCGGCGCATAACGAATACGTATTACTCCGCGCCGCAGGAATGGAACAAGCACTGGTTCGTACTGCGCGGCTGCGGCCTCATGTACTACCGAGATCCCTGCGCGGAAGATAAGGGTATCATGGACGGCGTCATAGATCTGAATACCGTTACCGCCGTCACGCCCCTTCAAGTCGCAAGAAATTATGGATTCCAGACTGTGGTGAGTGTGACCGGGGAATTTCGCGGCCGGTGATTTACGGTAATTAACATTCCGCGCGGACGGAAATCCAGTTAGGCCTCTCTCGATCGCAGGAGGCGCGCGAACGGGCGACGGTTCTTTGCGCTACCAGTTGCGAGCGAGCTGGCGGACGGATGCAAAATGAATAACAAAAGACGGGAGCGGGAGATAGTCGACGCGAGTCGGACGATCGCGGAACGTCCGGGGCTTTGGCTCGCTGAACAATCAAAATCGAAAACGGGGAAGAAACGTTGAACGGTGGATTCGATGCTTTCGCGGGCTGACAAGCTGTAATCGTTCGAGTCTTTCGGAAATGATGTTATTACTGTCCGAGGGGGTTTCATCGTTTGAGGTTTTCAGGAGCGACGCTCTTGCGATCTGAAAAGTTGCGAATTGAATATATCGAAGGTGAGCCAATAGGAAAGCTATCTTTGATCCTCTAATCAAGTTAGCTGTAACGTTGATTAAAACTGTTCTATTGGACACGATTCTTGAAAGCGTCAGCAGTTGTTGGACATTATCCATTGAGAGATCCTCAATTGGATCGCTGGAATCATCTTCTGCGCACAAGAGTGATCGGAAAAATGCCTGTAATTCAATTTCGCGATAGAACAACTTGGTCGTCCGACTTCCTTCTTTCTATTCCGTGTCGTCGATCTCTGTCGTCCGGATCTGTCCCGCTGATCGGCCTACATAGACGATCGGCGTCGATGTTTTCTTATGATCCTCTTTACCGGTGTTATTTGCTTGTTCTTTTACGAGGCTTGGGACGATCGAGGGTCCAACGTGCTGTCTGCGGTCACCGCCGGGATCCGGGCCAGTTGGATGTCTGCTATCAGGAGGGCCGCTAATTTACCTGATCCCGATAGCAACACGGATTCTATGTCGGTTTGCCAGGATGGACAGCAGGAAAACACTCCGCAGTCGCCTACCACGTGAGTAGCACAGTTTCCTGGCTCCTATTGATCAGCGAAAGCGTTTTCTTTCCTTTTGGGATCAGGTTTGATCGATTTCAATGGTGCGTCTATAGCGGACGTTGATGTTTTTAGGTGAACTGCGGATTTTGTACATTTATCGCGTTGGGATTTTTAGATATCGATCACTTGATAATAAGAGGTTCATTTTGTGTCCAAGAATTTCACTTTGCTATTGTTGGGGGCTGTTTCAAGCCATTTGAAGCTCTTCGACCCTGTTAGACTATTTTCATCAGCTCGTAGCTTGTTGATTCAACCCACTAGTGCCTCCAAAACCTAAAGACTCGATCGCTTATCGATTCGATCCTCCATCCAACACTCTTTCCCACGTCTCAGGTCCATCACGGATCGCGAGAGGGACTCAGTAGTGCCCTCCACGTCGGTAACTCCGAGATCAGTCCTCTTCTCCTCGGACGAGGAATACAGGACTGCATCGGAGGGTGGTAGAAGAGAGTCTGGCGACTGGTCGGAAGTGCCCGTGTCGCCGCCCCTGGTCAGAAACGGCGACTGGTCGGGTGCGCTGAAGGGTTCGAGTTGGTCGGACTCGGCGAACCACGAATGGTCCGAGCTGCCACCGTCACCGCCTCTGACGAGAACAGCTCTGTCCCGAGTGAAGGCGCGATCGAGGTCGAGCTCCAGGTCCAGGGTGTACAAGAGGAGCCGCAGCTCGCCGCCGAGTTCTAGAAGAAGCACCCTGGACAGCGTAAGGTCCGAGGATCTTATGATGGCTTGCTGCGAACTCGGCGAGGACGAGGAGCAAACGAATGGGCACATGCAGAGCAACAGCTGCTTGTCTAGCGCCAATGATAGCCCTTTGATAGTCGAGCTCCTGGAGAACCAGGTAACGATAATAATAGGTTACGATAATTAAAGTCGTTAGCTTGCATTTTATAATAGGCACACGAAGAATATCGAGTAATTCAAGTTGTATTGAATATACATCTCCGAACATGAATATTCTATACGAAGCTATTGAATATTCAACTTGCCGTTGAATTCCTTTAACCGCCGCGAGTCGACTTCCCTTTGCATCGGTGTAAAGAGAAATTCATGTAAAAGTAACACACGGTTTTTGCGGGCGTAAATTGAAATGAAAGACGATGAGCTACCGTTCTCGTGATTTCATTTTGCACAGGTGTCCCTGTTGCGCGATCAGCTGGACCAGAATCAGTCGAATCACCCAAGTACGCTACTAGTCATTATCGAGCGTCAGGAGAACGAGATCGAGAGCTTGAAGTCTCAGCTGAACGCCGCGAGGACCGACGTCGCGAACGCCGAGAAGGAGCTGTCCAGGCTGAGACAGCAGAAGGCAGAGGCCTCCATCAGGGAGAAACAGGTGGACGAGTTGTTGAACACCATACAGAGGACAGAGCAACAGAGGAACAAGGATCTGGAGGACTTGGAGAAGATGAAGAAGATGTACACTAGGGATAAAGAGATGTTGGAGTGCAAGCTGTTGGAGACGGAAGCGATCCTCCGGGAGACCAGCGAACGATGCGAGATGCTCACCAAGGAACTAGCCTCTAGCCACAGGACGGTGGAACATCTTCAGTCCGAGATCACTTCTTTGAGCGATCGATTGTCGCAAGGTGCGTTAAACGAGGGAAACTGAAACGTGGCTGTTTAATCGGTGATGTGATTTAATTGTGATTTCGTCGATTCAGGAATCGAGGAGAACGAGCGTTTGTACACCAAGGTCAGAGAGCTAGAAGAGAAGGGTGGATTATCTGCTTCGAGGGAGCGAGGGAGGAGCTTCGACTCGCTGAGCGACCTGACGAACATTGAGCTGGACCTGGACTTGAATTCTCTGGACAAAGAGAGGTAAATATTACCTCATATAATAATTAGTAGTTTAACAATTATTTATAATCGTTTAATAATGATGAATTAGTCTCACTACTCGACTTGAATTAATATCAGTTCCAACAGTTTCATTGAATTCGACGAATATCCTTGTTATCTGTTCACAGAATCATGGAAGAGTACGACGAGCTCCGCAGCCGTTTCGAGAAGGCGATTCTGGAGATACGAGCGATGCGGAAGGAGCTTCGCGAGGCTCACGCGATGCAGGACGCCCTGGAGCTGGAGATCTTCGCGCACAAGCAGGACGCAGCTAGCGTCAGCGAGACGAACCAGGCGCAGGTTCAATTGATGGCGGCGAGGATCCAGGACCTGACCAACAAGCTGGCCGCCAGCGAGAAGCAAGTGCGAACATTAAAGCAGAAGCTGACAAAGGCAGAGGCTAGGGACAAAAGGAGATCGTTGTCGTTGAAGGGTCGCGAGTCCTTTCAAATCTCGCAGGAGATGGAGGACAAACTGCTGGATCTGGAGAACAAAATCTGCGCGATCGAGCGCGGAAAGACCATCAGCTCCAGTGGCTCTAAGGAGTCGAGTCCGAATCCAAAGAAAGAGAAGCGAACGAAGAACCTGGACCGCACGAGGTTGCGAAGGAAGTCACTGGACAGCGCGACGAGTTCCGAGCCGATGAAGGTGTTAATCAGACTGAGCACACTGGAAACAAAAGTAGCGAACGTCACGGAAAGTATGGCGAGCGACGCGGAAAAGGACTCCAGCGAATGCAGCGAAGTTAGCGCGTCGTCTACCAGTGAAGTGTCCTTGGAGATCATCGCCAGGTTAAGGAAGCTAGAACGCGTGGTGTCCAAGTCGAAGAGGAGACTGGAGAAGTGTCTGGGCTCGACCCAGGCGGAGGACAAGGCGGAGAAGTGTCTGCGCGAGGTGAACGACATCCTCGACTCGTGTTTAGAATGTAAGAAAAGCCAAGCTAGCGCTCAAGCGACCGAGTCAGTAGGGGTAGTGGTATCTAGGCTAGAGACTATACTTAAGGATAAGCTGAGCGAACTGGCGGCGAGGCGGCAGGCGCTCGCGCAGAACGGCCAACTGGATGAACGGGAGAAGACCAAGCTGATCGCGGAGCGGGTCGCGTTCGAGTTCGTCGTTCTTAGGCAGATCAGGTGCGCGATCGGCCGTACCTTCGAGAGGAGCGCCGTTCTCAGTGAACTGGTCGAAACTAGTCAGCTTGCCTCAAGCCTAATGCGTAAGATTCACGGAACTAAGCCCAAAACGTACCAAAACACCAGTTACATTCAGTATCTTACTAAAGTGTTAGCGAATAAGTTAGTACTGGTAGGCGGTGTAACCGCGACAGAGACGTCGAAGGAGGTAACTGCAGCTCGCGGCGAGAGTCTGAGCTTCCTGCTGCAGAAACAGCGGGAGGTGAACGAGATTGTGAGGAGGTACAAGGAAACGAAATTGAGGCAGCTCGCGGAAGCCCTGGCTGTAGAGACTTTGAGCATGTCTGAACAGGAAGATCTTGGCAAAACGGTGTCCAACTCGAATAAGAAATTGTTAGAGGATCGAAGAATTAGAGAAGCCTGGGCGCTGGCTCAAGAGACCGTCAGCAAAGAGCTTGTACAGTCAGAAGTCTCTCACGTGATCATGCGTTGCGGACAGATGTACGAGCAGAACATCACGAGCATCACCGACACCTGCCTCACGTTGGAACCCGCGGATAGCATAGCCATGGAATCTTGGATCGACGCGGCTCAAGCCAGGCTTAGACAAGAAGTAGAGGTATCCACTCGCGAGCTGTCCGAGGCCTACGAGGATTGTCTGCGGCAGATGAAGAAGAACAAGACGAGCGTGGAGAGCAAGTACGAGTCCCGGCAGCTGCTCAACGACTACGCGGACGTGATCGCGCACAAAGCTTTAATCGACGCGAGGATCGGTCTGCTCCAGGAGAACGCGCGGTCCGTGAACACCTTCTCCGGGGAGACTTTTGTATCTAGTCTGATCCGAAACGACGAGCTCCTCTCGTCTCTGCTCGGGGATGACCGCGAATTACAGGGTAGCAATCCGATCCTCGACGCGGAGTACAGTTACCTTTACCAACAGTTCAGCAAGGAGTGTGAGGAGAGGGTCTCCGGGAAGCGGGGCTCGAAGGATCAGCTGAAGAACGTCAGTCAGAGCCTGCTCTACCTGGAGGAGGACCTGATTGATTTAGCCAAGAAGGTGCGTGACAAAGACGGCGAGAAGGTGGGCTGCTGGTCACCGAAATCCACGGCCAGCGATTGGAGCAGCGTTTGCGAGAAGTGCTCGCAGCTGCGCGAACACATTAAGAGGTTGAGGGACTATATGAACAGCGTAGCCTGCAAGCAGTGCGATCAGCTGCAGGAGACAATCGAAAGGATCACCGCGGATCATCACGAGGAACTGGAGACGCTGAAGAGGAATCAAGAGAGGGATTTAATGGACATCAAGGGGGAACTCGATAATCAGAGACAGTCATTGACGTCGCAGTATGAGCAAGAGGCGGCTAGTCTCAGGGAGAAAGCTAGGAAACTGGAGCATAGGTTGAACGCGATGGACTCTGAGCATTCGGCTCACGTGAACGAGCTGAGGGCAGCTTATCAAAGATCTATGAGCGCTGAGCTAGACACCGATGCGGAGACCAGGAAGAGGTACAAGGAGGAAATCAAGCAGTTGCGAGCATTGTGCGAGAAAGGACTATTGGCTATGGAGAACTCTCACAGGAGGATCATATCAGAGATGGAGGAGAAGCATCGACAGGAGCTAGAGAATTTGAGGGTGGAGAAGGAGCAAGCGTTGTCGGAGGAAACTCAGGCGACTCTCGCGGCGTTGGATGCTATGAGGAAGGCTCATGAGCACGAAGTGCAGAAGGAGATCGCGAAATTTAAGCAGGAATTCATTAAGCAGATGCAGGCGAGAGAGGATATCGGCGTGCTTCACAAGGAACACGAGTAAGTTAGATGTCTACATTATTGTTGCTGGCAAAAAGTGTTCGATCGAGCGAACAGTTAAATAACCGAGTAAAAAGGAAAGAACGTTAATTACTTCCTCAATGTAATACATTATTCAAATGCTCCATTTTTATTAGCAATTCATTTTCCTTTATCGAGCACTTTCTGCCGGACATAGCGTTAATGTCTGCTTGTTCCTTTTAGTTCTGTTAAATGAGCATTGCTTTCGCAAATGAGTCTTAATCATCAGCGAATGATTTTTAGAGAGGAAATGGAAGAGATAAAGCAAGAGATTCTATCGTTATCCGCCAAGTACTCGTCCAAGTGTGTGGAGTCCGCGGCTTTGGAAGAGAAGGTAGGTTCCTTGACGAAGCAGCTCACCCAGGCCCAGCAACACATCATGCAGCTGGACGCGAGGAACAAGCAGCTTAGGGCGCATCTGGTGTTAGAAACGAACGACACCGGCATCAATGACACCATGCAAATGCTGCGGGGCAGGGAGAACGAGATAGCGGAACCGAGGGAAGAGATCCACAGATTGCAACAACTGAAGGTAAACACGAGCAGGCTGCATACGTGTCCCGATCGCAACGTAGATGTGGTTAACAAATGTACACTACTAAATGATTAACGCTGCCGCAAATTACATATTATGGTGTTCACCCCCCACCTACCCTCAACTACTCAAACAGCTTGCCGGGCGTTTCTAAGCGTAGCTTCTAAATCACGACGGACAAACTGACACTCTTGTACATAGACGGTGACAGTGTCGCTTAGACATGCACCTAGGTACAGCAAAGCTTTCATGTTTGCAAGCTTCGTTCATTCGTTTCTTTACCACAATCCTCGACTGAGCAAGTTGACTCGTTCACCGTTCAACTTATTCTGAGTTAATAGTCAGAGTTTGAGATTTGCGATCGCGAAGGTTTTACTGTGCCTACACTGCTACATACACCAGCGACTATAAGGGTTCGAACATATGGTGGAATTTGATCGAGAATCGTTCAGTATTATTATCAAAGTCTACTACGCAACATCCTCCCTAGGCAAAGCAAGACAACACTAAATTCATGTTCAACTCTGTTCAGATTTCGATTTTACTGCAGCCCTCAAACTTACATTTTAATCGACACATCCCCGAAACCTTTTACCGCTGACTAAGTACCAACGACAAATACGTTTCCAAGAAGATAGTACCCAGACACTGATGGACGATAGTGTACGAGTTTGGGCACACCCGAAGCAAACTCCCCAGTGGTCACAGAACCTCTAACCGGACACTATCTTCCACGGAACAGTGTACTCCTCGAAATCGTTCGCTGTTCCGAGGACGCCTCTAGAGCATCCGTAACGCGTGACGGCAGAGTTAAGAACCATAAAGACACGCAATCATTCGGTAGCAGTCTCTCCGGGCGCCCAAATAAAAAGAACCATTCCAGTTAACCGACCATGTCCGCACTGACGCATATTATTTTCGATTCTCTCCACTAACAGCATGGGGATGCCGTCGTTCGCGACACGTCGTCGTCGAAGTCGCCGTCGCTGGGCTGCCCCGCGGTGCAATACGCGCCGCTGCGCGTCCGGGGCGGTCAGGAGCCGTTGACGCGAGCTGGCGGTGGCTGCGAGGAGCAGCAACGGCTGGCCGGCGGCGAACGTGCGAAAAGCTCCTCGGTGTCCACGTTACATAAGCACCCGGCCGCGGACAAGCCGGCGGCCGCCGCGTTCTCCTACAAGCTCGAGCGGATTAAGTCGGTCTCGTTGCCGTACTCGAGTAACTTGGTTAGGCCGGGGAGTAGTTCTGGCGTTCCGTCGCACGATAGGAAAGAGGTGAGCTTAGGGCAAAAGAGTCAGGAGCGTAACGGTCTCGCATCGCCACTTTGGGACAGCTTGAGGCCCAGGAGCGGATTGCCCCATCAGTATCAAGGTACAGAAGACAGATGAACTCGGATACATCGCGGCGAGTTCTAGACCCGCGGGGTGGCGGGGATCGTGTCCGATCCTCTCTTGGAACGCCTCTGCTTTCTCTGAACAACCGCGCGACGCACCGCGTCGCGTTCTATCGACTGTCCTCGTTGCTTTTCATTGTCCGATGATGCTCTACCCTCTTTCTCCTCCTTCTCGTTTGTGTTTTTCCGGTGCGGATCGCGGGATCGTCTTCCGATTCCAGCGCGGAACTCTCTGGCATGCGGAGCAGTTTCTACGGAGTTTGGCCTGTTTGTTTCTTGTCTCTAACATTTGCGAGTTTTTGGATGGTGCGCCTCCTCGCGGTTCCCTCGACCGCGGATGGCAGGTGGACAAGACTAACCGGGTGCTTTCGTTTAGAATATTAACCTTTGATGTTGTGAATGTTTCGTGCGTGTCGCGGTCGCGTGTGTTCCATGGGGCTGATTCGATTGTTTAGTATAAAATTGTTATTAATACTTTTAGATCGGACTAACTGATTCTTTAGGAAAAAGGTGGCAGGTCCTAGATTTTATAGTATGAATTGCGGACCACCGATGTTTCGAGATGTAAATTGAGTTTATACGTTTGTTGCTCGAATTTTCGTGAGGCTAGAAGTTTCACGGAAAAACGAGCCCGGTGGATCACACGTGACCGATTAAAGGTAAACCGCTTCGAGGATATTCACGCGCCGACTGAGCTAACGGCTGAATGTACTCGCGACTGACATTGTAACCGTATCGTTGTGCAATAACTTCCTGTTCGGGTAGACCCTGCGCGCCGATCCCGATCGGCAGGAAACTAGATACTAACCGGAGACATGTACTATTAACGGTATGCAAAAGTAACGCAACAGTAACCCCCGCCTTGCGATGAATGTGATTCTCTTGTACTCGTTGAATGTCTAATCCGCGCGATGGCTGTACGCATAATATCAAAAGAAAAACGAAACCGGTCAGTGGCGCGCGGAAAATCGGGACGCCCTTTTCGCATCGCGTTCGATACTACCCGTCGCAGTCGACATTTTTTAGAGCGGAGTATTCTGGTGCACTTTTTTAAAACTTTTTTACCGAGAACACCTATTTTTGCAACGTACAATATACACCCGAGCGTTTCTGAACGTATCCCGCGCGCCACTGACCGCCGGCATCGACTCGATGCGAATTATATCTATCTGTAAGAGTGACGTCGCTTAAAATTGTTGGGAACATCCTTAGGTGTACGAGAAAAAAAAATACGATTCGACCCCTCTGTTTTTGCATATCTTGTCGTTTACGAATTAGTCAAGGAACATGGCAGTGTATGAATCGTAGAAAGGATTTCTTTCTAACAAATTGGCTACAGTCTGACAGAAATCGGTTGGCTGCCAAGAGATCACCCAGATTTCTGATACCTAAGCGAAGGGAAGATGAAGTTCTTCGAGTGAAACGAATCAAAATATCCTAATAAGTCATCCATTTCCAACCCTAGATTGATTGGACAGCTTCTCCCTTCCACTTTGCAACGATCCGTGAAATCATACACGGCTAACCGTGGTGGGGGAAGTGTCCTTGAGCAGCCAACCGATTCGGGTTCCGACTGTAGCATCGAAATTCGTCCGCGTAGCTCCGTTTTCCCAAGACAGAGGCCTTTCTATGTTCACGCTAAACCACGTTCTCCCCTCGAGCGACCTGTAATTCCGTTCGTAACACGAGCAAAAGTGAAGACAGCCGAGGGGGAGGCGAACCTGTGCAATCCTGGTAATCGTATGTCGGCGTTGTTATTTGATGCAAAAGGTGGCACAGCAGAGATGCGAGTCGGCGGCGCTGGCACCCGGTGGCAGGACGGCAAGCAAAGTGAAAAGCAGCGCCAACCGGAGGCATTCGGCCTCCGTGCCGACGATCCTCGCACGTCCCGCCTCACCCCGGAACCCCCAGCTCTCTCCGTTGCAGGTCCGTTCAGTTTCATTGCCAAGATCGCACGGAATATTCTGCGAGCCCGTCGCTGAACATCCCGTCACG